GTTCAACAGCAGAAGTAGGCATAGTGGTATTCTGCGGGTCCTAATCACCGATCCTCGATGTTACGTCTCTGGTATATCAAAGAATCGTTTATGCAGTGCGGAATGATGAAATATAAATGCATAGCCATCGTGTACGCCTGGCACTTTACCATCCCTTAACCTTATCGCAGAAGACGTGATTTTGAATGCACCTATGGATACGACTAGCCTTTATGATAGTGTTGAGCATCCATATGCTTGACGAGACGTTTCGACCACGAATGGCCTAGCTGCACAGCAAAACCATACCCAATTTGGAAAAACTCCAGCACCTGAGCTCTGATGTCTCGAAGAATCGTCTTTGTAGTGTGAGTCAATAATGAATATGAATGAATGATCAACTATGTAGTGGTTCATTGGGGATCACCATGATCTCCGTTGATGTACAGAGGAAGTTGATTAACGCGAAACCATCTGATTTTGACGAGGATACTGATGACCTCAGAAAAATTTACCTTATATTGGTTGCGTTGAAGAGCATTCTCTAACCCCTCCAGTAACTCCCCCCCGATAACCGCCAATGTCAGGCCGATTGCTACTTTGGGAACGTCTCAATTTCATTTCTTCAACAACTGTCAATGGAGTGTTGTATGGCATTGCATTGTCCCTTTATGCCCTCTCTGTTCGATTGTTCTACCCTCAGCTCAAAGATCCCCATCAGCGGCGACATATCAGGTTCATGTTTGCTTATGCTTCTGTGGTAATGATATGTGGAGTTATTTTTCTTGCATTGAACACACGGGAAATCCAACTAGCATATATTGATCACAATAAATTCTTCGGAGAAGCATACGAATATGAGGTGACAGATCAGCATACTCTGCCAGGCGGCATAACAATGGGAACCTTCAGCATAATTATTGATGTCTTGACACTGGGAATACAGGTGAGTTTACAATATATGAATATATGAAGCTTTCACCTGCATTCAACTGACACCATAGATATGGCGTCTGTGGGTGATTTATGGCACAACACGATATGCTATTGCTGTCATTATTTTACCTTTATTACTCTTCTTCTGTTTCACAGGTAAGTCAGTGACTCTGTAAAATCCATCTCTGCTCTTATTGCATCGAAAAAAATTAGGGTTGGAGATCATGCGCAGTGCCCTTGGGTCTGATAATATACGAGAAATCTTTGCAATCGATGTGACAGCCATTGTGTCTCAATTAACAATTGAAATCCTTGTCACCGCACTGATAATTGGACGCCTCCTCGTTGTACGCAAACATCACATCAATATAATGGGTTGGTCTGCTTTGATACCTTAGTAGTATTGCACTCACTGCTGACCACAACACAGGAGCATCGGAAACTAGCAAACAGTACATGGGCATCGTCGCAATGCTCATTGAGTCATATGCCTTGGAATCAGCTTGGACCCTTGCTGCTCTAATTTCAGGATTCCTGGTCAGCAGTACTGTAGGGACCTTCTTTATTGATTGTGATTCTTTCATTGAAGTGAGTTAATTTATCTTAGATATCCTTCCTCTGTTGATGCTGATATGTGCCTTGCCTTGAAGATCATTGCATATCTTCTTGTAATTTATAGAGTATCCTCAGGGAGGGGATGGAACAGGCAGACAGGACGGCAGATTAGCAGTTTGCAATTCCAGGCAGAACGTGCCACACACTCTACCACATCTGAAATGGTTTCACAAGTCTCACGAAACCCTCCAATTGTTGATGTAGTCGCCACTTCATTGCCACCAGTTGATTCAGTTGTTTAGCTATTAATCTGTTAAGCTTCATCTCGAACGAATGTCACTGGACTAGATATGAGTTGTTGTACATATATTTTTCACCTGATAGTATTGTTTGTAACATACGAGATATACATAACCAAGTGAACTACAGAAATGATCAAAAGATGAAGCATGGAAGGAAAAGATAATAACCATAACTCAAAATCATAAGAACCAATCCAAAGAACATAAATACGACAGCACCCTACCTAGCCCATCAATATATCCCCACAACTTCAGCAATCCTCACGTAGCAACCGTGCTCGGCTTGAAGCTCGACGGCGGCGGTTTCGATGACCTCGGAGCTTTCTTCTTCGCGGCTGCAGCGGCCTCAGCCTCCATCTTCGCAGCTCTCAACGCAGCACTCTTGTTCGTCCTTGGGGTAATCGCCGGTGGTAGTGTGACACTGCTCGGGCGTGGGCGGAGTTTTGCAGCTGCACTTGGTGGTCTACTCGTGCCAGCCACCGTACCAGCTTCAGAATCGAGAGTGGCAGAGGAGGGTGTGCGAACACCTAGAGCTGAACTTGCTCTTCGTGTAGGGGTGGAAGCGGTGAGAGGAGCCGATTGTCGGCGTGCAGTCATTGAATCCGTCGACGGCGTCCGTGAAAGGGGGGTCGGTGCCACTGTACCGCGGACTGAATAACAACGAACATGAGAAATCGATAGATAAAGGCAGAGAAGAAAGACATACATGAACTCGGAGGTGCCGCTCCACCCCCAATGCTTTGCCTCAGTGTTGCACTTTTGTTCGACCTCGGAGTCACTGTTGGTGGCTTCACACTTGCGACACTTATCGTCTCGCGTCTCTTGTGCCCTGGTATACCATCAAAGGTAGTCCTAGCCTTCTCCGCCCTCTCAGCAGCTGACACCGCACCGTCCGTGACTGAACGTTTCGTCAGCCGAGGTGCTACAGGTCCCGGTCTGCCACCATTCGTTGCCTGATCCTTCGCAATCCGCAGTGCAGCTGCTTTAGTCATACGGGGTGCAATTGTTGGAGGAGCAGTAGATGCTACCGCAATCGTCTCTGCACGTTTATGCCCGGGGACATTAGCGAATGTCTGTGCGAGTCGTTCTTTCGTGAGTGGCGTGCGTGGTTTGCTGGGTGATACTCTGTCGGGGACGGTTGAGCCAGTGATGCGGAGAGCAGCTGCACGGGACATGCGGGGAACGATATCGGGTTCGCTGTTCGTAGATGGTATAGCACGCGCTTTGAACGACGGTTTACCCCCAGATCTGTTGCTGTCATTGACAGTCGAAGCGTTGGTACTCGCAGCATATTCGCCTGCTTCACTCGGCTCAGCCTGAAGGGCCTCGAGTATAGACGTGCGGATGTTATCGTAGCGGTCGGCCTCAGTTTCGGCTGGAAGGTCGGCGGAGCGGAAAGGCGGGGAAGATGCAAAGAGGGCAGAGATTTGGATTTCGGCGGTTTGTGTGTCGGGAGAGCCCATGAGTGCATTTTGTTCACGTGAATGTCCGTAGAGTGCACGAAGGGAGTTGGGGGCCTCAACGCGCGCGACATCGGGATCAATGTTACCCATGAGTGTGTTCCATACTTCGACGGCCCGCTTGCGCTCGAGGACGTAGACCCAGACAGGGCCTCTGGAAATATCGTGATTAATGGTTGGATCAAAATTTGAACAAGTGGGCTTACTCGGCCAGTGAGTCTGCATCATCGCCAAATAGTTCATACAACGCATCCGGGTCCGTCTCGACGTCAAACTCCATCTGCCTCTCCTTCACAATCTATTCATGGAAGATTAAGCACAATAGCATAATGGATCGTGATACGCTTTCATACCTCGAAGCTGGCTTCCTGGATCCTGGGCTCGATATCGAAGCGGTGGCGGAGGGCATGGTTCTTGATGATGGCGACGGTGCGCGTCACAGGCACAGAGCGAGCCATGGGGGACGAGGGCGCGAGTTCTTGGTGGTGATCAGACACAAGGAGACCGTTAGGCGTGACAGCGAGATCCGGGTGTTCGACTTTGTCAACAAGTTCTGCATAATGCTCGGCTGGAATAGCGCCCGCATCCGTCTGCTGCACATGAAGCTCGGGCTGTGGCAGTGTGGGAGTCTCCATGGCCTGTTGCTGCTAGTCTGTATTGGGAAGCAGATGAGATTAACGCAGGGAGCAGCAGCGGTGCCTCGTCAGAGGGAGAATTAAAAAAAGAGGAAATTGCAACAGGAGGCAGTGTTGGACAGAAAGAGAAGACTGTGATGTTCCCTCTTCCCTCGTCCTTGCCTCATCAATCCCGGCACGTCGACACAACCAAGGACCCCAGCCACCATCCTCGTTTATCACACCCAGTCCCGTGACCTCCCGTACCACCGCGTCTATACCAATACTACCACCAATCTCTGCAATGAACAGTACTCCCTCAAGACATATCTACGACTGCGTGCATTCACGTCGTCTCGTGCTAAAATATAGGCTACACCTTCGCCAATTTCTCGGGGTCTCTAGTATCCACCCACCCGTCAGCCTGGCAACCCGCGTAACCACCCCAGTTTCTGGAAATCGTTCGCTAAGTTGTTCATGTCAAATTCTCTCATAAAAAGTGAAGGCAGATCACTGCCCCAGAGAGACTTGAACTCTCGATCTTCTGATGGTCAATCGGATAACAGTCAGACGCCTTAACCAGCTGGGCCATGGGGCATATATATTCATGTCTTTCGTACTCCATGGCGACGAGGCAGCCCAATATATATATCGGCCAAGTGAAGACGACATGAACGGTAGATTATAGAACTTTGAGTGACTACATGTAAAACGTGGGATGGCTACACTAGGATAATCAAACTATCTTTTGTTGTCTATATGTAACAATCAGACACCCTGACCAACAGGCACGCTATACCCTTTTCTCAAACTTGTAGCACTAGGTCAACCATGAAACAAGGAAACTTTGAAGAGAATAAACTATTCACTTGTTCCATAAATAACCATGAGGCTAGATAAATGAATCAAAACCTCCCTGCAGCAAGGTACTGCCCCAGAGAGACTTGAACTCTCGATCTTCTGATTGCACTGGATTAACAGTCAGACGCCTTAACCGGCTGGGCCATGGGGCACTTGTTTATCACGCAATCCCCCGATCACTCCGATCCCGTCCCATTTCAATCGAACGGCTTATACCCCCGAGGATCCCCCGCAAATGACCTTGCAGGTTGGAGGCCGGTTTGCCGCTGGAAACGCGAGAAACAAAAAATATGCTGCCCCAGAGAGACTCGAACTCTCGATCTTCTGATTGCTCATGAGCTAACAGTCAGACGCCTTAACCAGCTGGGCCATGGGGCACATGTTTTCGCTCCCCAAGTTGTTTTGTCGATCCCCGCATATATTATTTAGAGTCCAAGCTGCGTACTAGTCCTACGGGCGCACTAACACTTCGAAGTCGAGAAACACCGGAACGACGATACCTGGTTCTCGAAATTCTGAAGTTCCGGAACGTATCCCTTCACCTCAAATGTTGGACCATTGCACCCGTAATCACTAACCGCAACAGACAACTCAATAAACCTCAATTCCGAATCTACGAACACACTCACCGATATAAAATACAATGTGCTCCATTCCCCTTCGGTGCAACGCTTGCCACGATATTGTCCCATTCAAGGGGAAGCTCCATGCACTGAAGTTCGTCCCAGAGTATGGAAGTGCAAGGTGCCGTTAACCTTGGATTCGCACAGAGCAAGAGGGTCTGAGCGACTTCCGACTTAAATTTTCTCTCTATGCCCTCGGAGGTTTTGTTCCTCTGTCGATGATTAACTGGTCAGACCAACAGTCCCAAAAAGACACATCGTAGGAGGCTAATGCATACTTGCTCTGTCAACGCCCCCGCCACATCATTGAAACCCAACGCAAGGAATCCTACGGCGAAAACGAGACGACGCCACATCGATCCTGAAAGGCGGAGGGACGAAGAAGCTTGAGAGACTCGACACATTCTGGTATTTCTATGCCAGCCATGAAATTCTGAGACCACTCAATCTTACGTCTCAGAAGCCAATCGATCAGCGAGCTTCCTTCGACTATATTTTGGCGTCTATCGGTTGCGAGGCTCCTATCTTCTGCTCGAAGAGTCTACAGAAGCAACATACACTAAAACTACAAAATAACTTTACATTGGCTTTAATGTCCCCATACTTCTCTCTTAGACGTAAAACCCGTCGCGTCCCAACGCATCAAGAGCCGGTCTACCATAGTTAGACTGCACGAGGAGGAAATTCCAAGACGAATCAGTATCCAAAAATTCATCGCACAGAATTTCAGAGGTTCACTCACCGGAGCCTCAGGCCTGTTAGCAAGGATTGCCTCGATCTTCTCCATAATCTCAGGCGTCAACTTCGGCAAGACTTCGACAGCTTTCAAGTTTGCACGAAGCTGTTCCGCGCCCGATGCTCCAAGAATGACTGTCGAGGTGTTAGGGTTCCTAGCAACCCAAGCAAGTGCGAGGGCTTGAGGAGTAGTGTTCAATTCTGCAAGAAGTCGAAAGTTAGTCTACGTGAGGGTGATGGGAGAATGGCATGATACATACCTTCCTGAGCGAGTCTTGTCAACTGCTTAACTTTCCTAATCTTCTCTTGACCTTCGGGTCCTTTCAGGGCTTCGATGGTTTTGGAGAAGAAGGTAGAGTGAGTATCATAACGGGAACCGGAAGGGACGCCGTCGTTGTACTGTTCGGGGGTTAATAAATACTTCCCAGTCAACCGTTACCTCTACTTACTTTTCCGGTCAGAAGGCCACCAGCCAAGCAGGAGAATGCCGTAGTTGAGATCCTATATTTCCTGTAAAGAGGACTGGTGGTCCAGTGAGCACCACCGCTTTGTTCCCGCTGCCCATTATACTTACTCATATTCCTTCTCTGGCCTTTCTCGGTGGAACATGCTATGAAGTGCCACATGATGTCATATATCACTAGAAGCTAGTGAATTTCGTACTCACTTATGTTGGCATTGTTCAGCAATAGGTCCCATGAGACCAAGTTTATCAGCGACGTCTGTACGAGACTATTAAGGCCATACGGAAAAAAATCTCCGAAATGCTTACGCCAGGCCTCTTCGATTTCACGGGCAGACCATTCCGACGTTGCCCAATAGAATGCCTAGAATTTGCATTAGGGTATGAATTACCAGAAAGGGCTGAAACTTACCCATCCTTTTTCAACGACCCAGTTAAACGCACGGACAATCTCTTCCATGGGGACTGCGAACCGCCGGTATCAGCACCACACGGCCCACCCTTTCCGTTCGTAATACGCACTGGTGTTATCACATCGGTGAGCAAATAACACATCCACATACTCCAGCCCCATCCGGTCCAAACTTTCCTTCGTCCCTTCAATGATGCTATCTCCTGATCAACATCTCCCACAGCCTCATGAGGTAACGTACTCACTGCTTTCGGCTCAATCCACTACCATTATGCCCTGCCCTCGTTCCCCAGAATATCTTAGTGGTGATCACTAGATCCCCTCTCCTCAACCCAAGTTCCTTGATCACTCGCCCCCTATGGTGACGTATGTCATCAAGACAGGAGATCGACCACAAAGAGGAACGTCTAACATACATTTCGACTTCAGATTTTCCCTTGTTGTAGTTTTCCGCGGTATCGAACATGTTGATTCCTGCATCGAACGCTGTCTTGATGATTTCCTAGCGGGTTGGGATATCAATTATCGTACGGTCGGGGATCAGAGAAGTACAGGAGATGAAGTACCTTGACGGGATCACCTACGACTGTGCCTCCGAGGGTGAGCCCTAGAAGATGGTGTGAGCAACCCGGCAGGGGTCCAAACAGCTACTGCCATACATCCTCCAAGAGAAAATACCGGCACGCGGAGGCCGCTAGACCCCAGCCTCCTGAACGGCATATTCTTGGGATCGAACTCGACTTTTACATCAGCACCGCTGGCCATGTTAGTGTATTCGGTGGAGATTCAAAGAGAAAGGAGACTAAGGGATAAGTTTGATGGTCTTGAGAACGGTCGCCCTTCTTATCTTGCGGCCGCTTTCTGCTTCTGACGGTCTTCCACTGCTATTCTCAGCATTCAGATGATTAATGGATGTCAAATGTCATGAGGTTCGCAATCTGTTTCCACGCAAGAACCACTATGACTGAGATCGCAACGTCATGTGGGATAAATTTAGATTCGAGGTATTTGCTTAGCGCGTAGGTATGAAAACATGAAATGTTCCTGGTGACTCGGCATAATTTATAGTCTTCCGAACCTATCCAAGGCGGGCCTGGCTGCAGGTACCTGTAGATGTGCATATCAGTCGCAAAAACTAAGCACAAGGTACAATTGGCGTACCTCCAGCTGGGGCTTATTCTTGAGAATCTCTTCGATCTTCTCTAGGATCTCGGGGGTAAGTTTGGGCAAGACTTTGACCGCTTCAAGGTTCTGCAGGAGTTGCTCTGGGGTAGAGGCACCAAGAATGACAGTAGAGGTATTCGGGTTCTTGGCAACCCATGCGAGTGCGAGCGCGGTGGTAGTCGAGTCCAGTTCTGAATAGCGTATTCCATTCAACCTGAAACGATATCATACAGCGATAGAACATACCTTCCGCTATCTTGGTGAGCTCACGAACTTTCTCAATCTTCTCCTTACCTTCTCCGCTCTGCAATGTTTCAATGACTTTGCTGTAAAACTGAGGGTGGGTAGAGTAGCGAGAGCCTTCAGGAATGCCATCATTGTACTATATATCATATTATCAGGCTTAGCCTCACCAGCTGGCGTGTGTTTGGGCATACCTTTCCAGTGAGAAGTCCTCCAGCAAGTGATGACCATGTTGTGGTTCCGAGTCCGTATTTACGGTAGAGAGGACTAGGGGATGTAGTTAGATATGCAACCTGAGCCGTAGACAAGGTGTGCGCACTCGTATTCCTTCTCGGGGCGTTCACGGTGGAACATACTGTATTTGAAATCAACCACAAGTGTGACTAAAGTGGGACCAGGGCTCACTGATGCTGACACTGTTCAGCGATCGGCCCAACGAGGTTAAGTTTGTCAGCGATGTCTACACCGTGATCAGTTGAGCTTATATGTTGACTACACCAATTAGGGAAAACATACGGTAAGCTTCTTCGATTTCACGGGCACTCCACTCGGACGTTGCCCAGTAGAAGGCCTATACCATGCGTTTGTACTGATACCACCAAAAGAATTACCCGGACGTACCCAACCCTTTTCGATAACAAAGTTGAAGGCACGAACAACCTCCTCGATCGTCACTGACATAGCTATGAGCCCGTGACATTCGAAATGCAGTGCAGGATACTCACCGCTGCTGTCGGGACGATGAGCGAAGATCACATCAACATAGTCCAGCTCCAAACGCTCGAGGGATTCCTTGGTTCCTTCAATGATGCTAAATATAGGTTAGCAAGAATACTCCTAAGATAGATCCAGGGGAAACGTACTGTTTACGTGACAGGCCAGTATCATTGTGGCCTTTGCGAGTGCCGAAGTACAATTTCGTTGTGATGACCAGATCGGTGCGACGGAGGCCTAATTCCTTGATAACACGTCCACTAGAATTGGGCTGATGAATACTATGAGTAGTTCTTAAGAAAGGGCCAACGTACATTTCTTGCTCGGACTTGCCGCTTGCGTATCCTTCGGCAGTGTCAATCATGTTGATGCCATTCTCAAAAGCAGTGAGAATGATATCCTATATTCCTGTTAGCGATGTGATCATCAAGCGCGTTGAAATGAGTACTTTGACCGGGTCGCCGATGACGCTGCCTCCCAGCGTGAGCCCTATACAAGGAGTCAATCATAATTCACGGTGAAGAATGGAGAGACCTTACATCCTCCAAGGGAGAAAAGAGGGACACGTAATCCACTGGGACCGAGCCTGCGGAAAGGCATATCTTTGGGGTCGAATTCGCGCTGAACGACGGCCATGGTGAAAAGAACGTAAGTTGTGAAAGAAAAATCGAGATAAATCCCCTTTATATGGCCACCAGCGGCGGAGATCTAGCCGGTCGATAATGATGATAAATCACAGGGGGTGATGACTCGTGGCGCAACATCCTCGAGAAATTAGGTTACCCGCTGTTTACTCAACATGTGCAAGCATATTCCACGTTTTTGGAATTTCAAAGAACGAAAATTACATCATTGAGCAGGAGCGACCGCGACAAGCTGCCTTTTGCACGGATGACCAAATCACAGATAACCTCAGACAACCGATAAGCAAGGGAACATACTGTATGTCTTTAGGCATTTTATCTGGGGTTGTGTTAGGTGTATTGTCAGTTTCGCTTCGCGTATCCATTGACATCTCGAGGCA